TTTTTTTATAAAGGTGGGGTTTCTATATGTTGCCAGTTCAGTTTTGAACCAACCTCCCACCTCAGCTTCCCAAAGTGCTGGAATTGCTGGTGTGAGCCAGTGCGACTATCCATAGGACATTTCAAAAACAGAAAAAGCACATGCGAAGTAAAATAATCTGTAATTCCATTCCTTGAGATTACCACTGCTAAAAATTTTGTCTTTCCAGTTTTATTTCTACAAGTGTATGTATACATTTTAGAGAATATTAAGGCTATACTATAACATGCTATTTTGTAACCCACTATTGTCACTTACTATATTAGACCCAGTTACTTTTGTTGTTAACATCTTTCATAACTAGATTTTTAATGGCTGCATAGTATTCCAGTATGAATGTACTATGAATGTATGAATGTACTATAAAATGTATTATATGAATGTACTATAAAATGTAATCAGTTTTCTATCGTTAAATATTTTCTTCCTGAGTTTTATTATAAGTGATGTAATAAAAATCCTCATGGAAAGCTTTTTGTGCATCCCTGATTGCTTCCCTATGATAAATTTCTACAAGTAAAATTGCTGTATCAAAGGTTATAAACATTTTTAGGATTTTTGATACATATTTCCAAACTGAGTAGGAAAGGAACCATTGTACCCTGGCTAGCAGTATATGGGAGTCTGTTTGGCTAACCTTATACCAAGCTGAATGTCCAATGGATTTGGACTTAAATGTGCTTTTTAAACTGTTTTCTAAAAAGTTTTTTAAAAATTTGGGAACAGATCTTTGATTTAAAAGTGATCAAGGATAAAAGCATTTTTAAAACATATTTTTGATGTTATAAATTCTTTATTTTATTTTACAGGTACACCATTGTATTTATCTATTATGCATTCTGCCTCGTGTTAATGATGCTGCTCCGACCTCTTCTGGTGAAGAAGATTGCATGTGGGTTAGGGAAGTCGGATCGATTTAAAAGTATTTATGCTGCACTTTATTTCTTCCCAATTTTAACCGTGCTTCAGGCAGTTGGTGGA